GCAGGTTGTGCTGCCAAGTTAAGAACATTAATTCATCATTAAAATAAACATATGTTATTTAAAATTTCTTTTTAAAAAAATTTTCTTTGCATTAACTTTTCAGTTGAATTGCAGAAATATAGTGTTTCTTGATCAAAATTTCATTTTGTTCCCTTAAAAAAATATCTGATTATACTACCATAATCTATTTGTTATCACAAAAATTTCAACTGTAATACCAAATATTATGCCCTAAACCGAGAGACCAAGTAGTGGGGGCCGCCTTACATGGATAGGCTCACCTGATAGGCCGACATTAGAATAAAACGTTTTTATTAACGGTCTTAATAATTCAAATATTACTATTTTTTAATAAAAATAAAAAATTTTAAATACAAATTACATAAAAATTAAAGTGAAACAAACTGAAGGATAAGAGTTTTATTGTGCAATTCAAAATAAATTAAACAAAAGAAAAAGGCAAAAAAAATATATTGTTTCAAATTTCAAACAAGAGTTTACTAAAGTAACAGGTAATGTTCTGATCCATTCTCTAGTGATAGTTCAAACATGACATTTATGCACCTCCAATTCGGTGGCCATGACCTGGATTTTTATCGTTGTCATCTTCCATTGTCTAATACAAAATTAAGTTAAACAAATTTGAACATAATTCCAATAACCTGAAAAGTGTGGAACCATGCCAGATTTGGTGCTAAAGAATGTACAGTACCACATTCACACTGAACTGTTTCAGCTAGAATGCAAGATGGCATTGTTTAGAAGAGCAGTGCTAGGGGCACTCGCCTCTTGCACTCTCCGGCCAACACTTCCCCTTTCATTGGGCCACGTAAGCTCGTTTCAGGCGTTCAAGTGCATCCTCTTTCCGACCAGAATAACGTGGCCCAATAAAAGTGAAAGTGTTGGCCGGAGAGTGCAGAAGGCGACTGCCCCTAGCACTCCTCTTGTTTAGAATGCGTGCCCTATTAGTTTCCGGACACAATATTGCTTTGTCTTACCTTTTACTGTTTGATTATAAGATGTGTCAGAGAAGAGCAGGCTGATATTGATCCAATTGTCATAACAGAGGCAAGGATGCACCAGCCTGTTCCGTTGCCTGGTAAAGAATTGTATGCCAGGAACAAGTTTGTTGTGTGGCTAAGATGGATCCCAGCAGACAGCAGACAACAGGCAGCAGGCAGTAGACACCAATTTTTGTCCCCCAACTGAGAAGATAGTGAAAACATTGCAGTGTCGACCATTACCCATTATATTATAAGCATCAAAACCTCCAGGAGCATTAGTCCATCCACCATTTACATGCTCAAATTGTCCTTGATATGGTAGCACAAGTTCCAACAAAAACTCCTAAAACATTCACATTTCCTCCAAAAGTGGGAATTAAAGGTTCAGCACTTTTTTTGATGAAATGATACAAAATATCTGCTTACTGTGGTGAAACGGTGCAACATGTTCCCTTGCACATACTGGCCAAGATATAACTATGAAAATCTGATATGGTGCAACACGTTCTCCTGCACATACAGGCCAAGATATAACTATGAAAATCTGATTTAGTCAAGAAACTAAATCAGTTTGGATAAGTCTAACATAGGAGGACTACCTCTACAAAAGAGATGACTCAACCATTTAGGTGAGAGTTGCTCTTTTAGTTTTGGCTCAATGTCTGCCCAATTCCAAGACATTGCTTTGCTCCCTCACCAATTATCCCTCATCGTGGAGACAGATAACACATAGTTCAAGTTCAAATGGCCATCATAATGAACACGATTTCACCAGCTTTTAACCAAGCAATCCTGCAAGTAAAAGACATTGTTTAGGATGCCTGCCTTATTAGTTTCTGGGCACAAGATTGCTTTGACGTACCTTTTTATTGTTCGATTATATATGTCTGAAAATAGGCCGATAGAGATCCAAGTGTCATAACAGGGGAAAACTTGCACCTGTTCCATTTCTTAGGACCAATTTGTTTGTTTGTAAGAAACTTGAAGCGTGGTTAAGATGTGTGCCCTAAACAAGCTAATAGAGATACAAGTGTCATGATATAGTGATGCACCAACCTGTTCCATAAGTTATGCTAGAATTTCTTAGACAGAAGAAGTCATCTGTCATTGTGGCTAAAGATTGATCTCTGTTGGCAGCAGGTGACAGGCACCAATTTAATTTTGTCACAAATACATTTAATCTCAAGGCATGATCCGCAAATGAGTCCATGGTTAGATAAAGCAGTGCTTGATGCAACTCTGTTTCTTTCATAGCCTTTGCCATAGAGATTTTCTTAACCACAATCTCCTCCTAATATATGAAGAAACAATTTGGAATTTAAGGATGAAACAAGAAATAAGATAGTGGAAACTTTCCACTGTTGATTTTTAGCACGTACCATAACCATCACCTCCTCCATGAGCCCACCCACCATTTACAGGCTCCAATTTTCATTGATATGGTACCAGAAGTTCCCACAAAAACTCCTACAAGATTCACATTTCCTGCAAAAAGTGTGAATTAAAAAGTTTAGCACTTTTTTCATGAAATGTTACAAAATATCTCCTTACTGCTATGAAATGATGCAACAATGAAGAACTCCTAAACATGTTCTTGTTGTTTCAAAATTGTTCTCTTCCCGTTACAGGACTAGATAGAACCAAGAAAATATGACTTAGATAAGGTTAAGGTATTGCACTCGTCTTTCATATTTTAGGATGATATGTTTTGCACCTTCACATGAAAGAGCTAAGGAACAAGATCAATTTATATTTTTCCAGAAATTATGCTTCAAGCTGCCATACCTAGTCAAAAAGTTTGGATGCATACTCTTGTCACCTCTGCTTTTGTACTTGAATAGTTGAACTGCCTTTGGCTTGAATCAGATAAACAAAGAACAAGAATGAATAAAACAAAAGAATTCAGTCAGATGCAGTAAGATACAAGACAGATGCTAAGTTTAAACATTGCAATAATGCAATGAAGCATACATTAAAATTATGGAACAATGCCAAACATTCTTTCCTAACAAGCCAAACAACCAGCGAAGGAATAAATTATTAAAAAAATAAAGTAATTTTTTGAGTAATTGACTTCACATTTCAGTGGAAGAATAATTTTAAACTGTAGATATATGATGGTAATTTGATGACAATAAAGGCATTATAGGGGAAACCAAATCCCATAATTAAATTCAATAAGAAAAGCATTGCCTTGATCAAGCCACTAAGATACAAATTGCATATTTTCCGAAATTATGACTGCAGAGATGTTACCATTATATATCAAAGATTGCTTAGAGTTGCTAATGTGATGGTTGTATGTCTGCATCTGGAAATATAAGGAAGTAGAAGATTTCTATAAATTTTAAAACACTAGACAATAATAATAATAATAATAATAATAATGACTGGAGGAATATCTCCAGGGAGTGCAGCAGGGAGTGCAGCTGAAGAGAAGTAAGCAGTAAGGACTTTGGAGTAATGACATCCATTGAATCACATATTTGGAGAATTCTTGAAGTTACAAGGCAAGCCTCTGATAAAGGATTCCAAGAGAATAGAGTTTTAATTTTTCTTTTTAACCTGAAACTGAAGAGATGCATGGCAGCATTAGAGAAACAGGCTGAGATGCATGGCAACTGTGGTCTTTGAACTTGATGTCCTTCCCAAATGCTCACAGATAAAAATCTCCAGCGGACATGAGTTTCTCAAGATCCACATTGGGTTTTACTCCAAAGTCCATTTAGCATGTAAACAACACCCTCAGTGGCAACATTTCCTGATAAAACTCAGGATTAAATGGATAACCTCGAAGACCTGAAACCTATGAGTCCACGGTGTTGATCCCCTCATCTGTAAAAACATGGAAAGCATTTTTACTTGTAATGCATACTTGAACTAATGGTAGTAGCCAAAAAGACATGTATCTGGCAATCATCTCCTCAAGAAAATGAACATGGTGAGAAGCAATTATAAGAGATCAAAAATGAGAAAGAATGCATACTTGGAGAAATGCTAAAATATTTGAAAGGGCTTGCCCATAAGTGTCATGGAAATGGACAGCAAGCTTATCAATTGGAACAACATAAAGAATAGCTTCAAACATTTGAATGACAGTTCCTTCAAAATAGCACAAGAGAAGAATATCAAATCTAAGTTAACCCCAAAATTAAAAATAATAAATTCGAGATTATGACATTGAAACAAGCATATAATTAACTAGCCTATATAAGATAATGAATTTCGAAGAAGCTTCACGTTATTTGTGTGCATGAAAATCACTATCACATTTCAAAATAAACCAACAGAACCCCCACTGCCACGCCCCCACCCCAAGATAAGATACAAACAAATAATGTGGGATTCCAAACAGAAAACAGTTTTAACCATTACCAGGTGTGACAACACCAGTTGTATCACCAAGAGAAATTTCATAGCAACCCATATCACAAAGTTGTCTGGCCACAGATGCAAATTTTGATGGAGGCACCATTACTTCTACAGGGCAACCCATGACACATGATATGTATCTACAAAGTTGAAGACTAAACTAATTGAGAATTCAATAGGAAGAAATAAGACTAACTTTTCTACCCTCTTTTCCTTCTCTTTCCTCCCAAGGAATATAGAGCAATTTCAACGGTAGTTAGTAACCTACCCACCAACATGAATTGAAAGCTCTCTTGCAGTAGAAAAAGCATCATATAGCAATGAGTAAGACTATCTTCAATATTTGACTTTGTTTTTGACTTTGAAAAAGACTCTGGAGGCAGCTGCGGTTACTTCCTTGGCCCCTGCTGTAATAGCAACTTCAAAACCCTGATAGAAAGCATTAAAGAACATCAACAATTCGTCGATCATGAGATAGGTGCATGTTTTCTCTACGACAAACATCTTAAATTCAATAAGAAAAAGAAAAGCATAGCCTTGATAAAGTCATTAAGATATACAAATTGCATAGTACATATATCTTTGGAAATTATAACTGAAAAGACGCTACCAGGAGAAATTTGTTGCTATGGCTATGACGGGTACCAGGAGAAATTTGTTCCTGAACATTTCTACTGTGGATTCATCAACATATTTGGAAATTCCCAAGGAAACCATCCTTAATGCCTAGTGCAAAACACTCAAATTCACTTTCCAACAATCTGAAAAAACAAAATGAAAGTATAAACCATTTTAGGACCATAATTCAGAAGAAAATAATTTTAAGTTGGGAAAGGGAATCAAGCTCTCCAAATTTAAATTTATCAATAAATAGAGAAGTAGTGCAACAATATATGCATATATAATTTAAGCTATTAAAAAAGGAAAGAATATACCTCAATAATAAGTCTGTAGCTTCATTCCAAATTTCACTTAACTTACAATTGGCTATGGTGGTTATAGCTGATGGATATGTGTAAGAAAAGTTAGCTTCCAACAATTAGAAGAAGAAGAAGAAGAGGAAGCTATCCTTGTTTGTATGTGTTTCGACGTGAGGGATGGTACGGGTGAGAGACCAATATTCTCCTTTCTCCTCAAAGCGTTGTCGTTTTACAAGCGGACAGTTAGAGATCCAGAGAAATCCAAACGACGGAGGCAGTCCTTTTCTCGGCAAGGACCGTAGCTTTGGGCACCCCAAAATCCATAAATCTTGAAGAGAGTTGAGGTTTTCGAAGAGCCCACTAGGTATGGATTTCAGATTCTTTGCTTATAGCTGATGGATATGTGTAAGAAAAGTTAGCTTCCAACAATTAGAAGAAGAAGAAGAAGAAGAGGCTATCCTTGTTTGTCTCTACATCAGAGTGTGAGTTTGAATCTAGGTTTTACCTCATCACCATTTATTACGACGCGAGGGATGGTACGGGTGAGAGACCAATATTCTCCTTTCTCCTCAAAGCGTTGTCGTTTTAGAAGCGGACACCCACGGATGTTGAGATGTCCAAGCGACGGAGGCAGGCCTTTCCTCGGCAAGGACCGTAGCTTTGGGCAACTCCAAATAACTAAATATTGAAGAGAGTTGAGGTTTTGGAGGAGCCCTCTGGGTATGGATTTCAGATTCTTTGCATTTTCTATCCGTAGATATGTTAAAGAAGAAGGAAGCACAATATCCAGAAGAGGATGACTCGTGTAATAAATGCTAAAGCTTTGAAGAGAGGTAAGATTGCGGATGCCCCGTTTCACTGCCGGTTGCTTCAGATGCTCACCGTCTAATTCAAGATTTGTTAAGTTTGGAGGAAAACCCCCATCTGGAATGGATTTGATGCCTGGACAATCTTCTATCTTCAGATTCTGAATCGATGTAAGCTCATTCATTGTATTTGGTAGGGAGTTGAGATTCTGACAGTTCTCTAATATAAGATTTGTTAAGTTTAGGGGCAAACCACCATCTGGAATGCGCTCCAACCATGGACAATCTTCAATGCTCAAAGATCTAAGATTAAGCAAGGAGAAGCCCATCTCTGGCAAGAATTCTAAAACTGCACAGCTGTCAATGGTCAAATCCCGAAGATTGCTGAGGCCATCAAGTGATAAGCTTCTCAATACTTCACAATTCCAAATTTGAAGCGATTCAAGTCCCGTACAATGTTGCAGCATCCTCTTTGGAAATGATTCCAACCTCTTGCAATCATAAACAATAAATTTCTTGAGAGAAGCTGGCAGATGACCACTCCCAACAGAATTTAGAGATGGAAGTCCCTCTATTCTCAAATATTCAAGATTGCTGTTGCTGTCACCATCATCTTGCAATAATACTCCATCTGGTAAAGACTCAAAATTGACACATCCATTAATTGTCAAGTGTTTAACCATGGTGGTGGGTAAAGACTTGAGAGAATCACAATTGTAGATGCTTAATGATTCAAGTCTCAACATGTTGTTGCTGCTACTGCTGCTTCCATCTACCTTCATCATCATCGCATCAGTTAATGACTCTAAAGCCTTGCAACTTGAAAGTCTGAGATGTTTAAGATTGAAAGGAAGAAGGCCGTGTTCTTTCCCCGTCAATGAAACAAGCAGAGGACAGCTCTCAATGTTCATTTTCTCAAGACGAGCAAGGTTTTCTATCTCGGCACCTTCCTCCCATAAACAAGTAAGCTCGAGGCATTCTTTAATCTCCACCTCCTCAACTGCTATTAAGGACTCAATAAAACTCCTAGCCAAGCAAACAAGTCCCGAAATTCTCTTAATTTCCAAGTTAGTAAGAGAGATGAGATCAGCCAAGCTATTCAAAAAGGCCACATTGCAATCTTCAATATTCAGCTTTTGCAGTGACTGAAGACTCATAGATGATGGGCATCTTAACTCTGAGCATCTTTTTATCACAAGATTTATAAGAGAAGACAGGTGGCTGGGTAATTGTCCTATCAACTTAGGACAATTTTCAATTACAAGCTCATTAAGACATGGGAATTCTACTCCACCTTCTGTTGTTGAAGTCCATTCCTTCCACACTGACATGTCATGAAACTCCAACTTCTCAAGAGATTGAAAAGTGTCATGCCCATAAAACTTAGAATCCACGGTTTCTATTGCATCCATGCCTTCAACAATCAATTCTTTGAGTGCTGGTAATTTCTCCAGTGATGGTAATGAAGTGCTTCTTCTACACTCACACAGCTTCAAGTATGATAAATTAGAAAACGACGGACAACTAATCCAGGACGGTAATTCCTTGCCACCATAGCAAATAATTGAGAGACTTTTCAAATTTGGATGTGGTTTTAACCAGCTAAGGACCTCCATTTCCTTGTCTTCATTCCTAGAACTGCCAAAATCAGAAGTCCATTGTAAGAGCAACCAATCAAGACCATCAATCTTGTCTAGGCTGGCCCTCTTAGCATCATGAGCATTCGAAACGTTATGCAAATCTTGAATAGATAGTTCTCCTTTAAGTTGTGAAAGGTTCTCCAAATCAGATAATTTAATCAATTCATTTTCCTTCCCCACAATAAATTTGCCCAACATCAAAAGATCTTTCAGATTAGCTATTCCAGATGGCATCTCTTTCAAGGAATCTGTTCCCCTAATGTCCAGATGATGGAGGTTAATGTAGTTCCCAATTTTCACGGGAAACTTTGAAAAGCTTCTACAGTTGAATAACAACAATGTCTGTAATTGGAGGAAAACTATTGATTCAGGTAGACTTTGTATTGCAGTTTCAGACAAATTAAGGTACTTTAAACATTTTAAATCTCTGATTGAATCTGGCAGTTCTCCTATACAATAACCCTGAAGAGATAATGCCCTTAAGCATGTTAATTTTGGTATCCAATCAAGCACCACTGTCTTTGCTAAATAGCACCAATGAGCTTCTGGATTAGCAGGAATTAGCGTCCGTAAACTCTTCATTTCATTCAGAACTTTGAAGTTCTCAGAGATGTCACAATAAACACAATAGAATGATAAATGACGGACCTTCTCAAATTTCACTTCAGATTTCTCATCAACCTCCAACATATTCTGTAGGTTGTGGCATGTTCTTCCAGCAACAAATTGAGTTAAATCATGTATGAGATCATGCATTACATACTCTAATTCATTCCCACTAGATTGCTGAAAAAATGATCTTGAAAGTAGCTCACAAAAATATTGATGCCCAATTTCTTCAAATCTATTTTGGTCCCTTGGTTTTCGCTGCAAGAGTCCCTCTGCCATCCACAACATAACTAACTCATCCTTCTTAAATGTATAGTCTTTAGGGAACAAAGCACAATATACAAAACATTGCTTCAAATAAGAAGGAAGATGATAGTAGCTCAGCATCAAGGGTGGCAAAATCCCGCTGTTGATCTCATGCAAATTCAACATCTCATTTCTTGATATGTATTTCCAATATTCAACTCGCTTTCCTCGTAAGATTCCCCCAAGGAGTTTTGCAACCAACGGCAATCCATTACATCTTTTCACAATTTCTTCACCAACTTCTTGTAAACTTGGATGTCCATCAAAATTATCCTCTCCCAATGCATGTTGAGCTAATATTGACAGGCACTGTTTGTAGTCTAACTCTTTTAGATGGTGAATCATGTCTTTCCCACCCATGATTTCTGCAACACGCTCACTACGTGTTGTGACTACTATTTTGCTTCCAACTGATCCTGCTTGGAAAGGTTTTTGTAGCATATTCCATTGTTCATAGCCCTCATTCCAAACATCATCTAGAATAAGTAGAAACTTCTTACTTGATAACTCTTTCTTCAATTCTTCTTGAAGCAAATTGAAATCTCTCAAATCATGCTGGCCTCTAGATACTGCCTCCAAAATAGATCTTGTAATGCTTAACACATCAAATCGGTCAGAGACACAAACCCATGCCTTAAGCTCAAAGCTTCCCTGCCCTACTTCATTGTAAACATTTTGAGCCAAGGTGGTCTTGCCTATTCCTGCCATCCCAACAATAGGAATTACAGAATATCCTTGGGAACTGCTTTCGTTATTTAGTAACTTTTGAAGAATAGCTACTTTATCAGTTTCTCGTCCATAAACATGAGAAACGGGTAGGGAACTAGTGGGTACCCTCGCAACATCTGCTTTATATAGCTGTTCTCCATCTTGCAAATTTAAACGCAATAAGTGGAGATTGCTTGATCTTTTTACCATGCTTCGCAACCTATCGGAAATAGCCTTCACCTTAGAGATGGTGTCAGAATCAAACATTGAATCACTATGTTTGAAACAGGAGAAGCATGCAGGGATGCATCTGCTGGTGGGGCTGGCATGTTGAGGTTCTACAATCAAGCTACCCCTCAAGACATCAGTCGTGAATTCCTCCAGAATGTCTTCCATATCATAAGCTAAGTCCTTGAGATCATCAATCCATGTCTTGATGGAATTGACAGTTTGCTTCTCTTCTGCATCGCTGAGCAGACGACGAATATCTGGTAAAATGGACTTCCATTCTTGGAGCTCTGCATTGACCTCTTCTTGTAACTCGTGGGATTGACTGGAAGTGAAATTATCCACCTTTTGGAGCAGCCACTCAAAAGAAGCTGATAATAGAGGTTGCACAACCATAGACCCGAGTTCCATTGTGTGGCACAGGTAAGTTGATCTATAAGGATGACAAAGAAATATTGATGAGAAGGTTTTTTAAGATGAGAAGGGGTCCATGCTCAGCAATTATGGTTGCGTTTTGTTCCTTTTTAAGATTTATTATGAAGAGATTGAAGATTGGAGATGTGTGCTAACCATGTAAGAAACAAAAATGGAAGGATAGACATACCTTTTTCCCATTTTTTTCTTTTACTTATGAGGTGAAATAGCCATGTAGTAGGAAAAAAGAACATACACGAAAGAAAATGAGAGTTTTATGGTGGAGAGACAGAGTTTGGAATGGAGGAGGAATTTGAAACCAGACTACTCGAACTCAATGATGATTTTGACAAATAAAAGGGATTTGGTCATTGTCATTGGAAAGAGCAAGCCATTTTGAAAAAATAACAAAAGGAATATTGGTTGACATATTAATTGGTATATCTTTTAATTTAACATATTATATAATTTATTTATTAAAAAATTATTATTATTTTATCTAAAATTAAAGATAAATAAAATTAAAAATACAAATATGCATATAATACGAAAAAATTGATTAAATTAATGACTAAACCAAGAAAAAGTTTATAAATATGGATCAAATTAGAGGGTATACCAATTTTTTTTTCCTGATAAAGACCTAAGAAAAGTTGATTTG